TTTGGTACCAGGGATCAAACTCGGGACCTTCCACTTTCTTTTTTTTTTTGGTACCGGGGATCAATTGTGCTTGCATAGCAGGCATTGAAACCACTGAGCTAAATCCCCAGCCCTATGGGACCTTCCACTTTCAAGGCAGCCGGCGGCACCACTGAGCTAAATCCCTGGCCCAAGACTTTAAGATTACTTTTACATACTTATTGGATAAGTGAAATCTACCAAAATACCTTGTCAGAGAGAACACTAGTTAACAAAATGCTCATGGATCCATAACCCAGCAGAGTCTAAATGACATGTGTAGGTTTGTCAAATTGATTAGTCCTTCAGGATTTATAATGTCATTAGATGACAATATGGATTGCTTATCTCAGAACAAGACTGTTCAATTCAAGACCTCCAATATTTTTTTATCAAAATACTCTATTACAAAACTTTAAAAAAGGACATAGCTCTTTTAGGTCATCAAACAACAATATTACTGATCAGTAAATAATGCATATGTGATAAAAATACTGCAGGAGTTTTGAGGCTGTCTCCCCAGCAAGTCAACTCTCATAGGTTTTTTTTTTCCAGATAAACTCAATTGACTGCTCTAACTGGTTAAGAATACCAAGGGAAGATGTTCTATAATAACTTGCTGTATCCTAAGAACTTTTTTTCTTTCATATTAAATATTTAGCTCTGAAATACAACAAAGTCCATTCTCACCTTTTCATAAAGTAGCTGTGGTAAATTCTGTTGCTGCCTGTCCTGAAAATATTCATAAAGTTGCACCAGTCTAGCACATAATACTTGTTCTTGATTGAATAGAGGATGATGGCTAAATTGCAAGCCAATAATGTTGAGATCTAATTGGTACATTTCCCTTTGACCTTCCATTTTGTTCCTAAAAGAACTCCCAATGTCAGATTTTATTGCCTTTTAAAGAAAAATATGGACAATGTTAATTTGATTCTATCTTTAAAAAAATTACAAGTAACTTTCCCTTATAAAAGTAACATATAAATTGTAGAACAGTAATACAGTAAAGAAAAAACAATAATTTGATCTTCAAAAATTGATTACAACCTTTAATTTCATAAAACAAATTTGTATTACAGCATTTTAGCCATCTTGCTATAAATTGTTGTCATCTACTTTACTCTTCTTGTTTACTGGTAGAAGTTGGACTTTTGAATTATGGGACCGAAAATAAATTCTTATAGAAATATTATGACAAATGTAACAGGTTTTGGGTCGAGTTTGGTTACATGATGGTATAATTATCATTTGTGGGCCAGAATTAAATAGTAATGATTTAGCAAAGCATTGTTTCTAAATGAATATATTGATAATCATCTAGAAAATTCCTAGAAAGCACCTGAGTCATCTAAGCAAATTCTGCCTAAGGAAATTGTTTCTTTTTGTTCATGAGACAGTTATGGTTTAGATCAAGAATGTCCCCCCAAAGTCTTATGTGTTCAGAGGTGGGGATTTGGGAAGGTAACTGGATTATGGAGGCACTATATTCATCAGTGGATTAATCCACTGATACAGTTGTAGCTGAATGTGCTGTTAGAAAGTGGGGCCTTGGGCTGGGGATTTAGCTCAGTGGTTCCACCACCTGACTTGGAAGGGCAAGGTCCTGAGTTCGATTCCCAGTACAAAAGAAACACAAACAAACAAACAAAAAAAGGAAACTGGGGCCTGGTAAGAAGAGGCATGTCACTGGGTACGGGGTGACCTGGATAACAACAATGAATCAAAGACCAAACAAAGGTCTCTAAACATGTAAATCTTAATGAAATTTTATTTTTGTACACCATAATAGCTATGATTTAAAAAGACAGACAATACAAAGTAGTAGCAAGAAATCAAGCACCTGGAACTCTCTCACACTCACACTGTGTATAATTTCCTACAACAACTTTTAGAAACCTATTTGGCGTTATATATTAAAATTGAACACATACAAACCTATAAGCAGAATTTCTACTCTGATATTCTCTCTCTCTCTCTGTCTCTCTGTATACATCTATATATACATATTTATTTATGTAAAATAGGCAAAATTAACAGGTAAGAGTATTCTATAGTGGCAGAAGTTATAATAGTATTTACCCTGAATACCATTAATTCATTCATTATTTTTTCAAAATTAGGATCTGCTTTAATGTTGCATTCTTTTTTCACTACATATTTATTTTGACCATTTCTCCATGTTATTAACTATTCCTCAAAAGTAATCTCAAGAGCTGCATAATATTTCATCATAGTTTATTTGTTCTATTACTAAACTCACTATATTTAAAGGGTAAAATTAAACCACAAAAATTTGTTATAATTGATATTATAAGAATTCCAGCCATAATTACAAACAAGCTGATATTAGTTACCTTCCTGTATATGGTCTTTAGTGCTGGATTTAAGGATTCCTTGCTTATGTTTAGTCTGAAATTCCATGACTGTCTAATAGGTGAAGGTAATGACATTATTTCTCCACTCTCTTCAAACCAACTCTGTCCCTATTAAAAATATTTAATAAATATAGTAATTAAATATTTCCTTAAAAATAAATGTTATGTAGTATCCATACGTAGTATAACTTGTCAACTAGTGCACTTGCCTCACTTAGTTTAAGCAGGCGATTTTCCATTTTATTACAGGTCTTTTTATATGTTTCTGGCTTTTTCTGAATATAGAGTCCTTCATCTTCTAAAATGCGAGGCATCATACCTTTTGGCAGTTTATACTGGTTGGCCACTTAATAATAAAACTTAGATATTACATTAAAGACCAAAATAGAAGAATAAGGCAGAAAACTTTTAATAGTTTAAGATCAATGTTTTTTATTTATCCAGCATACAAAGAAACTATTATCATAAAATGTTTCATTAATGTCTTGAATATTTTATTAGAAAAGAACATTACCTGGGGAACTGCTTGGCATAAAAATATTTGCCTGCTCTTTTGTTAGTTTTTCTTGATCATCTTCATATTCAGCAGCTTTTACTTCAAATAAATCTCTAAAAATGACTTCTTCCATAAAATCTTTATCTTGACCCTTAGCAACATTTTCTAATTTATTACCAACTGAAAAGCATTTGGAGTGACTATCCTTTACTGATCTCTGTTGAATACCAAAAAGAAAAATAAATTTACATGTTTGTCTCCAGTGACTTCTATATGGATAAATAAAATGTACCACAACCTTACTGTGATCTGTATGTCTGAATTCTTCATTGAGATCAAGTACAAGCTGAAAGTGTGTTATAATGAAATTTCACTTAACATAGTGGGACTCATCATTATACAATATGATTTTTCTACAGCCCATCTTTGCAATTCTCCATTTAAAGACTACTGAAATAGAACTGTAATTTAAGCCTCTCCTGCCCTATGGAAAAATGTTCAAAGATATGAATTATGATACGTAAATATGAAACTCAAAGTATAAGACAGAATCTAGAGATGACAGACCATATGGTTTTAACCCTTCCTTTTTTCCATCACTCAGAACACACTGCTACCTGTTATATGAAATAGATATGCTGTTTTCTAGAAGGTATTTAAAAGCAAAAAAGCAGAAAAGACTCAACAAATAAACCTATGGCAGAGTCATTATGGTGAAATTTGGAAATATTATATATACATATGGTATAATATATATGGCAAAAATAATCTGACTATAGATATAGAAAAAGAAGTATTACTAAATATTAAAATATATTTCATATAATTAAAAGGAGTCTTTTCACAAAATAAAAGCATCTATTTTCTTTGTATGACTCATCTCATTTGAAATCTACACATACTGAAGAAGAGAGAGTGTAACTGAAAATTCCTCAATTTTCAAAAATTAAGTTAGGGTAAAAGATAAAATAAAAAGAATCAGAGGATTATTTTGAATAAAGAACCTTACATCGTCTTGACCAACTATGACAAAATTTTTAAAATGAAATAAATATAACCCAGGTTCATATCAAGTCATCATATCATCATGCCTTCTCATGCCTTTCATAAAATCAAGAAAATATTTTATATACATAAATCTTTATGATGTCTTTTACAATTCAAACAAGGTACATCACCAACATCTAGGAGCAAGATTTGGCAGATGTGCACATAGTATATCTTTTTGAAGATTCCAGTAACAGACTAACAGATGCTCTTTGCTCAGCTGGAGATCCCATACCAAGCTTCCTGTACAGCACTGCTATTGTGTGGGCCAGGGCTTTCAACCTACCTTCAGAGCCAAAATCTGCCCAAATGGTAGGCTCTGAAATTAGACCCCAGGCTCTGATTTATGTCCCTACAGGTCTCTTTTATGACCTCTATTTTTATGTGCCTTGATTTTTAGCCCAAGACAAGCTGTGACATTGACCAATATAAGACCTCTATGTCCAACTTTTTCTTATTTAGTCTAAGTTCAGATGCTACCCCAGATTACCTCCTTGATCTTCACCATGCAGTATACAGTATAGCAATACCTGTGTGACAGGGAATAATTCAGAAGGTAGATATAGATGCTTCTAAATGAGTACTGAGTGGTAAAAAACAAATACTACCCTTGTTCCATCTCACAGGAACGTGCTTATTAAACTGTGGTATGACAAAAAGAACCATTTGGAACCAATTTTGGACCTAAATCTGGTTGCCTAGATATTCTTGGAACCAGGCTCTCCCTATCTCTCAGCAGGAAGAGAGGCCACATTCAAATTCAGCCTCCCATAAAATAGGAGCTTTTCTTCCTTGTGATGGAGAGACAGTACTTTCCTATAGGCCCCAAAGTTATCAGGCAAATAGCTTTTCCAGACAACTTCTCTAAATATCTAATACAAGAATTCCTCATGCCCAAGTAGTCTGTTTGCCACTGCCCCCAATCATACTGACCTAATTTTTTTTGTTTGCCCCGGGAGAAGGAAAAGTGGTCACAACTATGGTACCTAACCCTGGCACACTTTGCCGGATGGGAGGATCAAGGACCGGACTTCTCTTATTTGACCAGAAAAGTTTATTCCTTAATCCATATCTTGGGATGCTGGGGGGTCAGGTAACTTGGAATTTAAGACCACAGGCATATTTGAAAACATCTTTTTGATATTCAAATATTCATTGAGTATCTAATGTATTCTGGAAATAAGATTAATAAATAGACAAAGGATTAGATAGTGATAAGTGTTATGAAGAAAAATAAAGGAGGAGAAAATGCTGGGTTGGGTGAGCTGTGGGCTATGATTTTAGGAACAGTTGTCAGATAAAATATCTTTAACAATGTATCATTTGAACAGAGACCCAGAGTTATCAAAGGTAGTGAGTGATAAAGCATGAAATAAGGAAAGGACTTTGTAGGCCAGTGATTACAAACCTTTTCGAGTTTTTAATGATAACAAACAGCCTGCTGCAGCACATGTGCCAAAGGTTGGCCATCACTGTTCTAGGCAGATAATAGTTTTAAAGAACAGAAGGCAAAAGAATGCTGTAAGTGAGGAGCAGAAGGAAGCCAGTGTGGTTGGAGGTAGGTTTGAGAAAAGGGGAAAGTAGAAGAAATTAATGAAGTTGGAGTGGTACTGAGGGAGCCAAGTCATGTAAAGACTTTAGCATGCATTTTAAGTGAGTCAGGAAAGCATTAAAAGGTATAAGCAAAAGAATAGTTTGTCCTAGATTTCAAAAGGATCACACTGACTACTGTGTGGCATGTAAATCAGCTGAAGGGCTACGAATACAGATTTGTTATGAACTGGATACAAGGCACCCAAGTAAAGGAGAATCTAAGGATGATATTGGGTTTGGCTGAGGAACTGGAAAAGTGGAATTGCCATTTATTAGTGATTCTGTTTATATAAAACTATGTGTATGCAAGTATGGGCATAAGCACAGAGAAAGGTATGAAAAATGATAATAGTGGTTATCTCAGGACAATAGGATATCAGATGATTTTATTTTTCTTTCTTATGGTTTTCTGCATTATGTTTTTACTTGTTCAAAATTTTAAAAGACAAAGTTTTTATTATGAAAAACAACAACAAAAAAAGAGTGAAAAGAGTAGAGCAAAGAATACAAAGAAAGGGAACAGTAGGGAGTGGAAAGTAAATAGGAGGGCAAATGGGGGCGCAAGAAGGACTTGAAAGAAGGACCTGGTTGAGAAATGTCAGAAGATAGCAGTAGGTGGGATAATTGGGAATGAATGGTTCTAAGTGGCAGAGCCCTTTAAAACACAGCCAGGCATGGTAGCGAAGACAGCCAGGCATGGTAGTTCATACCTACAATCCCAGAACTTGGGAAGCCGAGGGAGGAGGATCAATATGAGTTTTAGGCCAGCCTGTGAATACCTAGTGAGTTCAAGGCCAGCCTGGAATACAAGACTCTGTCTCAAAAAACTTAAAACAAACAACAAAAAAATCTGTGAAGAGATTTGAAAGTACAGAGGAACTGGAAAAGTTATAAGAATAGGAGAAAACAGGAAGGCTAGTGAGATGACAAGTCAGGAGGAGATGGAGAAAGATGAGTGAGACTAACTCATGCTCGAGGAAAGGTCAGGCAACAGGGGACCAAGGAGGTGGAAAGAACTGATAGAAATCAGAAGGTTATAGGATTGGCCTTGGAGGGATAAAGATTGGGGAAACTATGAAGGGTAGTAGAGATCATTGAGAACAATGTGGGATACTTGGAGAGAAGAACAGGAAAAGAAAAGGAATACACAGGCTTTAGAGCAGCCAGCCTATACTCCCCAGCTCTATCAATGATCAACCATCTGTGTCTAAGTTTCCTCACCTTTAGAATAAAGATAATAATGCCTGACTCATAGGATTGTTATAAGGATTTGAATGACCCAGTTAATTTTGAAAACTTAGTATATCATTGGCACCCAATAAAATGTTCAATAAATGTTTGGTATTATTATGAACAGCTCCTCAAGTCAAAGAGGAGAAGAAGGTGTAAATAAAATTTCATCTCCCGTCAAATATTACATTCTATGCCTTTAATAAAGAGTTGTTTTCTTGAGAGTGAGGATGCAGGAGAGAAAGGAACAAATCCAACCTGTTCTGATGACTGGCCCAACTCTGAGCCTTCTTCACCACTCAGAATGAAAAATGAAAGACCTTCATCCATCAAGACTTCAGTCTGGGGGTTAAATGACAGTAAATCAGTGCTTAGTGTTTAAATGAACATTTTTTTCTTCCTATAAGTGAAGAAACACTTTTCAGTAATATGGTAAACTGTTATTTAAAAAAGGAAGAGGAGGAGCAAGTTATTTTTACCAAGTTATATTTAGCTTTGAGTCTGTTTAGTTCGTGAGATTTAAAAAAAATTCTTTTAATGTTTTGGTAACTGCAATATAACTAGAATAAAGCAAAGCCAAAATCTCCATCTTCCCAAATGGTTTCCTCAGTTTTGGGGGGGGGGGGGGTACTGGGGATCAAACTTGGAAACTTGCGCTTGTGAGGCAGGCGCTGGAACCACTGAGCTAAATCCCTAGCCCCTATGATTTCCTCACTTTAATCTGAGAATTAAAAGTCTCACCTCACAGTTTGAATAAAATGCTGGCTCAAGTCAGATATTTTTTCTCTATTTTCAACTGTTCTCATATACACAAGTTTTCACAAACAGACACAAATACCATCCCATCTCACAATCTTTGGTGGAATTATGGGTAATTAAATGTCTTAAACATAGCATATTATTAGTTATAAACTTGCTGATAAATACAATTTCATTTTTTCCATGTTTTGAAAAATGGATCTTTTAAATGAAAGCCATTATGGCTTCTTTCTCACACATACATACTAAAGTGAAGTGTTTTAAGAAAGGCTTATAAGGAAACAATTCTAAAATATAAAGTAAAACTCAGTTAATAGGAATTAAAAAATTAACATCTGTAAAATACACAAGTTTATCCTATACCACTTTTGTATCTATGATTTAGCTGTCATATTAACTTTAAAAGTTATTCATCAGGGTGGGGCTATAGCTCAGTGACAGAGTGCTTGCCTGCTCAAACAAACCCTTTAAAATTTTATTATGAGTAACTTTATCTTTTAACAATATTTTATTATACATTTTTAGGATAAAAAAGAATGCCAACTAGGAATGGGGAATGACTGCAAATGAGGATGAGGGTTCCTTTTCAGAATAATAAGCCTAGAACTGGACTGTGGTATTAATTGCATGATTCTATAAGTTAACTAAAAATTATTGGATCATACACTTAAAATGGGTGATTTTTTGCTGTTTATAAAGCTTTTTTTTTTTTTTTGAGGCAGGGTCTCTCCCTTTGTAGTTCAGGCTGGCCCTGAACTCACTATGTAGCCTAGGCTGGCCTCAAACTCAGTGATCCTCCTGCCTCAGCCTCCCTAGTACTGGAATTACAGGCATGCGCCACCACGCCCGGCTAACAAAGCTGTTTTAAAAAGTTTTTTTAAAAGGTTATTTATTTTAGACCACTGACATATTTTAATATCAATTAATAGCTGAGTTGAAGACTTTTCCCCTCAACTTGAAACACAATATAAATAAATGTTTATAAAAATAAGCACAGTTGTGCTCATAAGTCTCCTGTAACAAAATTCAAGACTTTTCGGTGTTTTTCTTTCTAAAAGTGTGTATGTATATGTGTGTACATATGTGTTCTCATGAGATGTCATATATAATTATTATGACCCACTCACTTCACTTCACATTATAGGGGTGTCATGAAATAAAAGGGGAAAAAAACGGCAAAGTACTTGAAGCTTCCCAGAGTTAAGGAGCTGTATTAAGACTGAACTTTGGGGGCTGGGGATTTAGCTCAGTGGTTCTGGCACCTGCTTCACAAGCACAAGGTCCCAAGTTTGATCCCTGGTACCAAAAAAAAAAAAAAGATTGAACTTTGGAACTGGGGATGTATCTCAGAGGTATAGTACTTGTCTAGGATGTATAAGTCTCAGAATCAATCTCCATATTGAAAAAAAAAACCTCAGGCAATGGAAAAAAAGAATGAATTTCAGCTTTTTTTTTTTTTTTTTTTGATACTAGGGATTGAACCCAAGGCCTTTGCACTGAGTTACATCCTCCGCTCTTTGAGATAGAGTCTTGCTAAGTCCCTAAATTGCCCAGGCTAGTCTTGAACTTGAGATCTCCCTGCCATCTCTTCCCAGACTGCTATGATTATACATGTGTTACTCATGGCTACTTCAGCTCTTTTTTGAAAATAAAAAGTTTTTTATTCTACATTTTTCATTTAAAGTGATAAATTTGAAAACAAGAACTTTAAAAAATTACCTTAGCATTTCTTAGTTTTTCTCTTATTTTGCCTCTTAGTGTTTCTATTATGCTTTGATTTTCTTCTGCATCTAAATCAGGAAGCCAACATAATATAGAATTCATAGTACTTTCTTACAATTAAATAGCAGTAACAACAAAAGTACTTACTAGACACCTTAACTCCATTCATGTCTAGGCATCATGACAATTCTAAAAACTAAGAGATTGCTGCAAGAGAGTTTAGAATTCCCTTCTTATCTGAAATACTAATATTTATGGTGGCTTTTTGCTCTTTTTGTGGCTTCTTCACCTTCATTTGCTGTTTTTACAGTTATTGGCCAAAGTCTTTCTTTGAGTACTTGTTTTAAGTACTTAATATCCATCTTGTAAAATCAGTATGATACTTTGACTCCTATTTTGGACAATTCTTAGAGAAAATGAAACAATTCTGTGAGGTATAAAGATGGCTTCAGTTCTGTGCACTCTAAACAATGTGTTATTTTCTGCTTAACCACTGTATGATCCACTGGGTGGACTAAGAAAGAGAGGGTAAAGCCTTGTGTGCAATAAAAAAAGTATAGGACCTAATGGTCAGTTTGCCTTGTATTTTGCTTTTTCCTCTCCTTGCCTTTGAGTACTGAAAGGTTACATTGGTGAAGGGGGGGGGGGGCGTAGGCATAGATCTAAATCATGATAGGTCATGAAAATCTTTATAAGCTTAACTATAGTATTCCTTGGCAAAACTTTAAAATCACAAGGCAGCTTCTTCATACTCTATTCCCAGGCCTGAGAATGGCAGTCAGCACATAAAAGATTCTAAATAAATATTTGCTGGATTTGGACCTTCCTGAAGCAGGTTCTATATCTATAGTCTTACAATCTCAAGCACTAGTGGATTCTCCATGTTGGTAGAAAAAGAAAGACGGAGAATATGGAGCTTACTTTCACTATATGCATTGATTTTTCTATGCATTTCCTTATGTCTATCTTGTATTACCTAGAAATCATTCCTTTAAAAAGTTATGCTCTTGGCTGAATTTGTAGCATAGGAGTAATCATTTATATCTTTAAAAATAAAAACCAAGAATATCATGTGGTTTACTTATTAAAAACTTTTTGGGAGATGCTTGCCTATAATTTCTTCTACTGCAATGTTGTCTGTCTTTTTTGACATCTGCCAAAGAAGAAAAGCAGGTTAACTTGCATATTTATTTTGTCATTGAATATCTTTTCATATGCTCATCAGCCTATTGACCATCATCTCTTTTAAAATGCCAACTCATATATTTTTTCTATTTCCTTAAATTTCTTCTTTCTACTAATTTGTAAAGTTTGTCTTTATATATGGTGGATTTTTTAAATTAAGGAATTGCTTTCTCTCTCTCTCTCTCTCTGTAATAGCAGGAAGAATCTATTGTTAAAAACCAAGGGCTAATTCTTAGTGATCATGTATTATCTACTCATTCATCTTCTAGTAGAGTCAAATGAGATCAAACATATATGAAAATCCTTTGAAAATTCAGTACTATACCATTGTTACCTATTACTTGATTATTCTGTACCATCTTATAATGTTAAGCATCCTTAGAAAACTTTCCATATCTTTCCCCTCTATTCCTAAACTTGTATTCATTATATTTTCCAGTGGTCATGCTTTTGCCCTATAGAGTAAAAGTAGGCATATTTAAAGCCTTTGGAGAGTGCATGTGCTTTCGTGACTCCCCAAATTTATTTCCGGCCATGACTGTTCTTATTATAGATAGGTAAGTTTATTAGATATCTTGTTGGCAAGTAAACAGGGCCTGCCTTAAGGCACCAGTCCTCCAGGAGCCAACACAGCAAGGAACCAACATGAAGAACAATTGAGGCACATTCACTGGTTAGCATTATAAAATGGAAAAGAAGTACTACTTCCCCTAGAGAGAGATAGCAGTGATTGATATCCTAAATGGGAAATTCCCTGTATATGACTTGTCTTCCCTTTTGATCACCATTTAATCAATATTACCTGGAGGACTGTACTTGTAATCTTTTTTTCCATTAAGTTTATTAGTATATTTTAGGTATAAAATACAGTTACATTCATCATTATACCTCTTCTCCCTATATCATTCTGAGTATCAAAACTATATTTCTAGCTGCCTCCTAGTAATTCTAATTGAATATCCTACATCATTAAAAATTCAGTACATTAAAATGAATATTTTTCCAATTTAGAGCCTCAATCTTCTAAAGTAAACTATTCTAACAATGTTAATTCCTTTTTAGAGTAATATGTAGTATGAATTTAGCAAGAAATGTAATAGCAAAGATTCTTGAAATGATAACTGTGCATGCTAACCAAACTACTGTGCAGTTGGAATGGAAAGAGCAAGAAGACACATCAGCTTCATTATCACATTAATAACATGAATTCATGTCAAAAACCAAAGTAGGGTATTAACATGCTCATGATAAAAACAGTATTATAACATGAGTCCAGGATACAGAATTTCTAAAAGAACTTCAAAATCTACCAGTGGATTTTGTGCCACATTTAAAAACTAATGAATAAAGCCAGCATGAACTAAGATGTATTCTTACTTTCAACCTTCAGCATCTTCCTCAAGACAAGTAAAAATACATAATTCCACTCTTGACCAAGGAATAACACTCTTAAAGGTGTGGTGGAACATTAACCCTAGCAAGTGATTGATAAATGTCTACCTTTAATTCCCAATAATCTTGTCTACCATTCCTGGGATTATGGGCATTTTTAACTAATTCCGCATCTCCATCTAGAACACAGTGATAAAATAGTCATCTTAATCAGTTATTCTATGATTATATATGTTTCAATCACTGACTAGATGAAACTTCTTTTTGAGCAAAGCAGGGAAAGGATTGCTGGCTGACAGAGATAACATGAATAAATAATAATATTTAAGTAGGAAAATGATTAAATACTTAAATAAATTAACTCTAATGGGGCTTCATACTATTGAGAGTCCAAAAAGAGTATCATTCATCCTTATCTTCACCTATAGCTTATTTAACCTATGAATTATAAAATTTGTATGTAGAACCAAGTATATAACATTTATCAGGATTAATAAATTTACTAGGATTTTACATTTAGAATTAAGCTATTTGGTATACTCAGAATCCTTATAAAGTACTTTATAATTTACATTATAATTTGCTTACAAAAGACCCTGAAGACAAAAGCAATCTTAAGCAAAAAAAAAAAAAAAAGAAAGAAAGAACAACAACAACAACAAAGAGTTAGAAACTTCACACTCTGACTTCAAAATATACTACAAAGCTATAATCAAAATGGCAGGTTAGTGTCATAAAAACTGACACATAGATCAATGGAACAGAATAGAGAGCCCAGATATAAATCCATATATTTAACATTAATTCATTTTTACAAATTTACCAAATATACACAATGAGGAAAGAATCTCTTCTATAAATAGTGTTGGCATAACTAGATACCCACATAAGAAGAATTAAGTTAGACATTTATGTCATATTATATACAAAAATCAACTTGAAATGGATTAAATGTAAGACTTAAGTTATTATACAAAAACATAAGAGAAAAGCTCTATGACATTGATTTAGATGATGATTTTCTAGATGTGAATGCAAAAGCTCAGACAACAAAACAAAAAATAGACAAGTAGGATTGTATCAAACTAAACATCTTTTATATAACAAAGGAAGCAACCAACAAAGTGAAGAAACAACCTACAGAACTGAAAAAAAGTTTGCACAACACACATTTGATAAGTTAAAAGCCCCAATTAAATAAGGAACTAAAAAATTTCAATAATAAGCAAAGATAATTTTTTTTTGTACCGGGGATCGAACTCAGGTCCTTGCACTTGTCCAGCAGGCAGCAAAACCACTGAGCTAAATCCCTGGCCCTAGCAAAGATAATTTTTAAAATAGCCAAATCATATGAATAGGTATTTCTCAACAGGAGATATATAAATGGCCAACTAGTGAAAATGAAACAATGCTGCTGAGTACAGTGTCACTCACCTCTAATCCTAACACTTGGGAAGCTGAGGTAGGAGAATTGCTAGTTAAGAGTCCTGACTGTGCAAGTTAGCAAGACTTTCTCTCAAAATAAAAAACAATAATGGGCTGGGGATGTAGCTCAGTGTGAAGACTCTGGGTTCAATCCCCAGTAATGAAAAAAAAGAAAGAAAACAAAAACACCCTTCCACCTCACCCCCCAAACTCAGTATCACTAATCATCAGAGAAATTGTAAATCAAAACCATATTTACATATCATTTCACCCTAATTTGAATGGCTATTACCAAAAATATAGAACAAGTGTTGGAAAGGATATAGAGAGAATGCTTGCACACTGTTGGGAATCTAAAGTAGTACAGTCATAATGGAAAAGACTATGAAGTTTGATTTTAAATTAAAAATAGAACTTACATATAATCCAATAATCCTACCACTGGATGCATATATAAAAGAAAAGAAATCAGAATGTCAGAGATATTTGCATTCTCATGTTTATTGCAGCATTATTCAAAATAGCAAAGATATGGATACTATTTAGCCTTTAAGAAGAAGGAAAGTCTATCATTTGTGACAAAACAAATAAGCTTTAAGAACATTATAGTTTTCTCTCTCTCCTTTTTTACTACCATATTTGCAGTACACAATGATTGCCTTTATCATGGGGAGGTGGCATATGTACATAATACATTGTAATTTTTTTTTCATCCCCTACCACTCTCATCCCTCCCTGCTCCTTCTAACTCTTGGTCCTCTTTCCATTTATAAAAGCTCTATTTCCACTTTTTCTTCAATTCTTTTTTTTGCCATCCCCTCTCATCCTTCTCCCTCTTCTTTTATCTCTTGTTCTGCTTCCTATTTGAGAAAGATCTCCCTAATTCCTATTATCTATCTTTCATTTTACTCTTTATTTATATTATGGGTTTCTCATATAAAGAGAAATCATAGATATTTAAATTTATGTATCTGATTTATTTCACTTAATGTTATGATCTCAAGATGCATCCATTTATCTACAGATGCCTCAAGTTTATCCTTCTTTATGGTAGAGTAATACTCCACTGTGTACAAACACCTTGTTTTCTTTATCCATTCATTTGTTGTTGGGCATATAGGCTGTTTCCAAGATTTAGCTATTATAAATTGTGCTGCTATAAACACAGATATGCATGTATCACTGTAAAATGATGGCTTTAACTCTTTCAGGAAGATATCTAGGAGGGCTGAGGACATTATGTTAAGTGAAACAGCCAAGTCTTAAAAAGACAGATACTATATGATCTTACTTATAGGTGAAATCTTAAAAAGCTGAACTCATGAAAGTAGAGTAGAATGGTGGTTACCAGAGGATAGAAGGGAGTTGGGGTTAGGAGCTGGATTGGAGGGTATTAGAGATAGGTAGGAAAGATGTTGATCAAAGGAGGAAAAGCTCCTCCTATCAAAGTTCAAGAAATCTATTGTGCAACATGGTGACAAGACTTAGCAACAATTGTAACAAATATGTATTGTATTTTTGAGAACTGCCAAGAGAGTAGATTAAAAAATGTTCTCACCTCAAAGGACTGATAAATATGTAGGCTAATTCACATGTTCATTAGCTCAATTTAGCCATTCTACCATGTATACATATTGCAAAACACATTTTTGTCAAATAAATAAAATGTTTAAAATTTAAAAAACAAACAAAAGTCAAAATTTGTTCAATGTGATTAAGGACTCAAATATAAACTCATGATTTTATAAAGAATTGTAATGAATTGTTTACTTTTTCTTAAGATTTGAAAAAGCAAAAGATGTGAAAAGATATTTCTGTTCCATTGTTTGTGAGAAAAAAATGCCTGACAGAAAGTGTTGCTAGATAATTGAAATTATTTACCAAAGGATATTGTGAAGCCCATGCCCTTTGAGTGGATGAAATTATAAGATGAATTCTCCTTTTTCTGAAAGGAAGCAGGGTATGACTTCTTCAATGCTAATTCTATCCAATAATATTATGCCTAATTGTATAACAAGTTGTTTATTTCCTTGTTTAAGAATCAGAATGTTTTTCAGAGAGCACAAAAGCAACAGAATGCAAATATAAACTGTCTGCAGGAAAATATATCACTTGATAAAATGCCATAAAAAACTTATATTAAAAATTCCTATAAACTCCATTAATATTTTACCCTTTTTAAAGTATCTTCTCTTCTCTTTGAGATCTTTTTCATGATGGATTTTTTGTCTCCACTTTCTAAATAGAGAAGAATGACACATCACATTGCTGAAAGACTATTGTAATACTTGAGATAAAAGTATAGTGTTAAAAATTACTAATTTAACTAAGAACAAAGTACCCTTTATCTTTTGTTTTACAAACAAAATTTTACTTTACCATATGTTCGACAAACAAAAACTACTTTAACCTTTTCAGTTGTTAATATTTAGTATTTGTTCACTTTTAGTATATAATAGAAATTCTAGTTAATGTAATAAGATATGAAAATGTAAGAGGCATAACTTTAGAAGAAAACACCATTATTTGTGCAGTAAGGGTATTTTTTGAAAATGAATATAATTTTTATTTCAAAACTTACTTTATATGAAGGCATTTCCAACTAATCTCATATTTTAGTTGATTTTTCAAAAATTAGTTCATGTTTGCAATGCATGCAGCTTAGTTTACAATCATCTTGGGGAGTGAGTACAGGTACATAATATAGCTTTATTCTTTTTTTAAATGTTTATGGTTAACTTATTATTTTTTAAAATTAATTTTATTGTACACTTTAGATATAGAATTTAATGACATTCATCATTAGAAATTTGCACCTTTACACAATCGCTCTTCTTTATTTTTTCCACACTTCCCTGCCCTCCCTTCAACCTCTCCATCCCTCCCTATTTACAAAGACTTTGTTTCCATTTTTACATTTTCTCATATTAATTCCATTCCCTTCTTTCCTTTGTCCTACACCTCCCACTTCTCCTTTGCCAATTTCCTTCCTTTTCACATTATCTATTATACCTTTTAGTCCTTATTTACACTTTCAGTTTCTCACACTAGAGAAACTATTCAGTATTTACACACATGTGTTCTATTTCACTTAAGAGTATCGCATCAATGTGCATCCATTTAGCTATAAATGTCTCTAATTTCTCATTCTTTGTGGCTTAGTAGTACTCCATCTTATAAAAAACCCCACATTTTCTTTATCCAGTCTCCAGTTGATGGGCACTTGGGCTGCTTCCAAATTTTAGCTATTACAAATTGTGCTGCTATGAACATGGGTGCACATATATCACTGTGGTATGATTCTTTTAATTCTTTGAGGAAGATACCCAGCAGGGGAATAGCTGGGTCAAATGGGACTTCCAGTCCTAGTTCTTTGAGGTATCTCCATACTGATTTCCACAGTGGTTTCACCAGTCTACACTCCCACCAGCGGTGGAGGAGGGTTCCTCTTTCCCCACAGCCCTGCCAGCATTTGTTATTGGTTGATTTCATGATAGCAGCCATTCTTTCTGGGGTGAGGTGGAATCTCAGTGTTGTTTTCATTTGCATCTCTCGAATGACCAGTGATGTTGAACATTTTTCATAGGTTTATTTGCTATTTCTACTTCTTTGTCTGAGAAATGTCTGTTCATTTCAGATGCCCATTTTTGGATTGGGTCTTTAATTTGGGAGGTCTGATTTTTTTAGGTTCTTTATAGATTCAAGATAGTAGACCTTTGACTGAGGAACAGCAGTTGAAAACTTTTTCCCATATTGTGAGTTGTCTCTTCACAATGTTGGTGGTTTCTCTTGCTGGGCAGAACATTTTTAATAAGAAGAGATCCCACTTGTTGATTGTTTGTGCTTGTTCATGGGCAACTGAGATTTTCTTCATAAAATTTTTTCCTACACCAATGTCTTCAAGAGTTCTACCTAACCACTATTCCAGCCAGTTCAGTGTTTCTGTTTTGATATTTAGATCTTTAATCCATTTTGATTTTAGTTTAGTGCATGGAGAGAGATATAGGTCAAGTTTAATCTTTGAGAAGTTGAAATCCAATTCTTCCAGCACCATTTATTGAAGAGGCTATCTTTCCTCCAGTGAGGGTGTTTGGCTCCTTTATCGAAGATGAGATGGCTTAGTGTGTCCGGAGTTGTTTCTGTATCTTCTAATCTGTTCCACTGGTCCTCAGGTCTGTTTCTTTGCCAGTACCATGCTGTGTTTACCACAGTAGCTTTGTAGTATAGTTTCAAGCTGGAGATTGTGATACCCCCTGCCATGTCTCTGTTGCCAAGAATTGCTTTTGCTATTCTAGATCTCTTCTTGTTCCAAATGAATTTTTGGATTGTTTTCTCAAGGTCCATGAAGTATGCTGGTGGGATTTCCATTGGGATTGCATTGAATCTATATAGCAGTTTTGAAAGTGTGGCCGTTTTCACTATGTTGATTCTTCCTGGACAGAAGCAAGGGATGGCTCTCCATATTCTGATATCATCTTCAATCTCTCTTTTCAGACTGCTATAGTTTTTAAAGAAGAGGTCTCTGATTACTTTTATTAGGTTGATTCCTAGGTATTTCAGTATTTTGGATGCTATTGTAAAAGGAATTGTTTGCCCTATTTCTCCTTCAGTGAGTGTGTTGTCTGTGTAGAGGAAAGCTATTGATTTTTGTGTGTTGACCTTGTA